CCTTTGTATTTCTGCAGAGTCAGTTGTTACTTCTCCTTTTTCATTTCTAATTCTGTTGATTTGAGTCTTCTCCCTTTTTTTCTTAATGAATCTGGCTAATGGTTTATCAATTTTGTTTATCTTCTCAAAGAACCAGCTTTTAGTTTTATTGATCTTTGCTATTGTTTCCTTCATTTCTTTTTCATTTATTTCTGAACTGATCTTTATGATTTCTTTCCTTCTGCCAACTTTGGGGGGGGGTTGTTTGTTTTCTTTGTCTAATTTCTTTAGATGTAAGTTTAGGTTGTTTATTTGAGAAGTTCCTTGTTTCTTGAAGTAGGATTGTATTGCTATAAATTTCCCTCTTAGAACTGCTTTTGCTGCATCCCATAGGTTTTGGGTTTTTGTGTTTTCATTGTCATTTGTTTCTAGGTATTTTTTATTTCCTCTTTACTTTCTTCAGTTATCTTTGGTTATTTAGTAGTGTATTGTTTAGCCTCCATGTGTTTGTAATTTTTACAGATTATTTCCTGTAATTGATACCTAGTCTCATAGAATTGTAGTCAGAAAATACACTTGATAAGAGTTCAATTTTCTTAAATTTACCAAGGCTTGATTTGTGACCCAAGATATGGTCCGTCCTGGGGAATGTTCCATGAGCACTTGAGAAGATAGTGTATTCTGTTGTTTTTGGATGGAATGTCCTACAAATATAATTAAATACATCTTGTTTAATGCATCATTTAAAGCTTGTGTTTCCTTATTTATTTTCACTTTGGATGATCTGTCCATTGGTGAAAGTGGGGTGTTAAAGTCCTCTGCTATTATTGTGTTACTGTTGATTTCCTCTTTTATGGCTGTTAGCATTTGCCTATATATTGAGGTGCTCCTACGCTGGGTGCATAAATATTTACAATTGTTATATCTTCTTCTTGGATTGATCCCTTGATCATTATGTAGTGTCCTTCTTTGTCTCTTGTAATAGTCTTTATTTTAAAGTGTATTTTGTCTGATATGAGAATTGCTACTGCAGTTTTCTTTTGATTTCCAATTGCATGGAATATCTTTTTCCATCCCATCACTTTCAGTCTGTATGTGTCCCTAGGTCTGAAGTAGGTCTCTTGTAGACAGCATATATATGTGTCTTGTCTTTGTATCCATTCAGCCAGTTGTCTTTTGGTTGGAACATTTAATCCATTTACATTTAAAGTGGTTATCAATATGTATGTTCCTATTACCATTTTCTTAATTGTTTTGGGTTTGTTTTTGTAGATCGTTTCCTTCTCTTGTGTTTCCTGCCTGGAGAAGTTCCTTTAATATTTGTTGTAAAGCTGGTTTGGTGGTGCTGAATTCTCTTAGCTTTTACTTGTCTTTAAAGGTTTTAATTTCTCCTTCAAATATGAATGAGATCCTTGCTGGGTAAAGTAATCTTGGTTATAGGTTTTTCCCTTTCATCACTTTAAGTATGTCTTTCCACTCCCTTCTGGCTTGCCAAGTTTCTGCTGAGAGATCAGCTGTTAACCTTATGGGGATTCCCTTGTATGCTACTTGTTGCTTTTCCCTTGCTGCTTTTAATATTTTTTCTTTGTATTTTTTTTTTTTTTTTTTTTTTTTTTTTTGCAGTACATGGGCCTCTCACTGTTGTGGCCTCTCCTGTTGCAGAGCACAGGCTCTGGATGCGCAGGCTCAGCGACCATGGCTCATGGGCCCAGCCACTCCGCGGCGTGTGGGATCTTCCCGGACTGGGGCACGAACCCGTGTCTCCTGCATCGGCAGGCAGACTCTCAACCACTGCGCCACCAGGGAAGCCCTGTATTTAATTTTTGATAGTTTGATTAATATGTGTCTTGGCATGTTTCTCGTTGGATTTATCCTGTATGGGACTCTCTCTGCTTCCTGGACTTGATTGACTATTTCCTTTCCCATATTAGGGAAGTTTTCAACTATAATCTCTTCAAATATTTTCTCAGTCCCTTTCTTTTTCTCTACTTCTTCTGGGACCCCTATAATTCGAATGTTGCTGTGTTTAATATTGTCCCAGAGGTCTCTGAGACTGTCCTCAATTCTTTTCATTCTTTTTTCTTTATTCTGCTCTGCAGTAGTTATTTCCACTATTTTACCTTCCAGGTCACTTATCCGTTCTTCTGCCTCAGTTATTCTGCTATTGATTCCTTGTAGAGAATTTTTAATTTCATTTATTGTGTTGTTCATCATTGTTCATTTGCTCTTTAGTTCTTCTAGGTCCTTGTTAAACGTTTCTTATATTTTCTCCATTCTATTTCCAAGATTTTGGATCACCTTTATTATCATTACTCTGAATTCTTTTTCAGGTAGACTGCGTATTTCCTCTTCATTTGTTTGGTCTGGTGGGTTTTTACCTTGCTCCTTCATCTGCTGTGTATTTCATTGTCTTCTCATTTTGCTTAAATTACCATGTTTGGGGTTTCCCTTTCACAGGCTGCGGGTTTGTAGTTCCCATTGTTTTTGGTGTCTGCCCCCAGTGGGTAAGGAAGGTTCAGTGGGTTGTGTAGGCTTCCTGGTGGAGGGGGCTGGTGCCTGTGTTCTGGTGGATCAGGCTGGATCTTGTATTTCTGGTGGGCAGGATTGTGTCTGGTGGTGTGTTTTGGGGTGTCTGTGAACTTATTATGATTTTAGGCAGTCTCTCTGCTAATGGGTGGTGTTGTGTTCCTGTCCTGTTATTTGTATGGCATAGGGTGTCCAGCACTGTAGCTTGCTGGTCATAAGTGGAGCTGGGTCTTAGCATTAAGATGGAGATCTCTGGGAGAGCTTTCACCATTTGATATTATGTGGGCAGGTCTCTGGTGGACCAATGTCCTGAACTCAGCTCTCCTACCTCAGAGGCTTGGGCCTGACACCCAGCCGGAGCACCAAGACCCTGTCAGCCACATGGCTCAGAAGAAAAGGGGAAAAAAAAGAAAGGAAAAAAGAAGATAAATAAAATAAAATATATAAAGTTATTAAAATAAAAAACAAAAATTATTGTTAAAAATTAAAAAGTAATAAACAAAAGAAAAAAAAGAAAGAAAGAAAGAAGAGAGCAACCAAACCAAAAACCAAATCCAATCCACCAATGATAACAAGCGCTAAAAACTATACTGAAAAAAAAAAGAAAAAAATGGACAGACAGAACACTAAGACAAATGGTAAAAGCAAAGCTTAAGTCTTAGCTTCATTGGACACTGCACACAAAGCCTTGGGCTCCATAAAACTCTGATTGGCTCATGTACAAAATTCAACCTCGAATTTTATCTTAGTTTCATTTGGAAGGGTCACTCCTGTCATGATCAAGGGTGGTACGAATGGCTCTCCTTTGGGGAGTGATCTGAATCTTCAGAATCTCCCTGCAATTCCAAATGGGATCTGGGCTCCAGACTTTATTTAAATAAACAGTTTACAATGTACTCCAATCCAGTCATCGTCTTCACTGGATTCTCTGACATCCGACCTCCAATTTTTACCCTAAAAGGAAATTATTAAAGTGTGTTCACAGAACAAAATACACATATCATTAATGGGCAGCTACTTGAATATTGAAATGTGTAATCATCACCAGGATCACGACATAGAAATTTTTTGTCATTCAAGCATGGCCCTCTGAAACACCTTCCAGGTAATGCCCACCCATCCCCTGATACTTTAAACAATTCTGATGTCTTCCGTCTCAAATTAGGCTTGCTCTTTCTTCAAGTTCACGTTTCTGAATATACACGTTTCTATCTAGCTATTATCAAGCAACTTTATTATGTTTTATATATATATATATATTTGTGTTTCTCACACCTTAATTTTGGTGTTAATGATAAGCATTACACTAATGTAAAACTATTTCACATATGATGAACATTGGGGTGGTTTCAAACTACAGCATTGGGAAAGGCTCATATGAATGCCTTTCTACTATAACTTGTGAATATGAGAATAAATATCCATTAAAGGTAAAGGAGCCATGGACCAAAAAATCGGCCAGGAAAGAAAACCAGTGCCTTCTATCCTAGAGATGCTAGACTGGGGGAGTGGAGGGGCACAGTGAGGCAAGTCAGAGAAAAGTAGAATTTTTACTGCCATTGAAGGGCATATCCTCTTCAATCATTTCTCCACTGTCCAAGGTCCACTGAGGGAAGAACCGACAATGGGAGCGTCACTCCAAAGTGGTTCAGTGCACAGATTCTGGGCTCTACTGGAGCATTTTCTGGGCATCTCTTCTGGGTAAGAGTGGACGCCGCAGGATTTCCTGCTGTTCCCTAAGGAGCAGTGGGAGAGATGCCTACCTGGCCAGGTTCCTGGGCTATGCCACCCAATCCCTCAATGAGGAGCTTCAATTCCGGGCCCTTGTGTCTGCCAAGAGAACCAACAAAGAAGGTGTTGCCTCCTACCACCACAAGTGCTCTCTCTTCCTCTTGTTAGAAAACGTTGATCCAACTCCTTTCCCTATCACTAGAGGTATGTTGGGACATTCCTGCTTGTTGGGAGGGGTGACTTACACTCCCGAAGAACACAGCTGGGGTAGAGAAGGAGGCGGGAGAAGGGGAAGCCTTATGAGAGGCCATGGAGTTGGCTAGGCCTGGAAGGGAAAGCGCCGTTGGTCCCGGGAGCCTCCTTGTGAAGGCAGGCCTCTGGCCTCCATGTTCCCGGAAGCGGTACCTCCTTCTGACCTGCCCCAAAGGGACTGTGGAGCGCGAGGCTTCCGGGCAAGGTCTCCCATGTTTTTTCACCACCCCTGTGGTGTGGCTTCTTTCTTGCTGGTGCCTGCCAGCCAGCGGGCCTCCCCAGCAAAGTGCCACACATGGACACGGACACACAGACAGGACAGTCAGGAGGCTTGGCGCAAGAAGCAGGACCCATCCATACACTTTGGTCACGAAATAGGAGGGCCAGGAAGATGCGGCTGCTCACCGAAATTCCGAGGCAGTTGAACACAGTGTGGCGCGCCTCTTGCCCTGGGTCGGCGTAGCACAGTGAGGCATCACAGAAGAGACGTCGTCTGCCATGAACCAAGGGATATCAGGAGAGAGCGGCAACTCAAACCCCCGCCCCCCCACAACCAGCACCAATTCCCTCCCACAGGTGGGGAAATCGCAGCCATCAGCTTTTCAGAAGTGCAGTGGATAAGCCTTACACCCTGGGGAAAGCACCTTCAAGATCATGACAACTCTTTTGTCAGGTAACTAGGGGAACACACCCTGCAGGCACCAGTGCAGGCTCCCACCCCTCCAGTGTTCGCTCAGGATCACCACCCTCCCCTCCACCCGCCCTTTGTCATTCTTCTAAACTGCTCTCCCCAAAGGAATTCAAGCGAAGACCCTCCAAACCTCTCCCATCCACCCCCACACCCTCTCATAAACCCACCCTCAGCCCGGCCCATCAGACTAACCACCTTTCAGCGGTGGCTCCAGAAGGAGGGACCCACAGCCTCAGCTCCGTCTCATCTATGTACTCTACCCGCTGCCTCTGCACACTTGGTCCACATCCTCTCCCTGGCTATCCTCTTGTCCTAAAGTGGAAGCAACATTTGTCCCAATAGGTCTTCAGCGTGAGTGTCCAAGGGAAAAAGGAAAACACGCTCATTGTCTGGTAGAGACCACAGGGATTTTTTTTTTTTTTTTTTCGGTACGCGGGGCTCTCACTGCTGTGGCACAGGCTCCGGACGCGCAGGCTCAGCGGCCACGGCTTACGGGCCCAGGCGCTCCGTAGCATGTGGGATCCTCCCGGACCGGGGCACGAACCTATATCCCTTGCATTGGTAGGCGGGCTCTCAACCACCGCGCCACCAGGGAAGCCCAGACCACAGGGATTTGAATCAAGAGCAGTTGGAGAAGTTGCCTGGATCGCCATCCTTTTGGTATTCATTTTTACACCTACCTTCTGATTATGGCACCGATAACAGTTTTCCGTTTGTGGTAGTGAGATGAACTGAAAAGTCAAATTACTCAGCGAAATGAATATGACTCAAATGAAAGAGAATATGTAAACAATATATTCCATCCTTGCTCAACTGATGAGTGTGTGGAGATGGCAAAGGCCTGGGAGGCCGGGCACTCTCCGCTGATGCTGTGCCAGTCATTGGATCTGCACGTGTCGCCACTGGGAACACACTGAGCCTGGGTCTCTGTCTCCGAAAGCTGCCTCGGAAGGATCCACCTGCACCACAGCGACCGACCACCTGACCCTGTTTCCTTTTCCTGGAAAGGCGAAGCCAGGGTCGTCCTGGATCACAAAGGAAGATATCTTAACGGCCAGAAGTTATAAGAAAATATTCCTGACATTTTTATTCATTAGGGAAATGCACATTAGTACTATAAGGAGGTATCATTACACACCCTCCAGCATGGCTATATCTAAAAGAATTAGTACACCAAATGCTGACAAGAATGCACAGAAACTGCAACTGTAGTTGCTGGTTTGAAAACATTCTAGGGCACTGTTTGTCAGTTTCTAATAAAGTTAATCTTGTACCTACTCCACGACCCAGCAGTTGCAGTACTTCCATGAATGCATAAGTATACAAAAAGATTGGTATAGAATATTCATCAATGCACCAAGAATATTCATTGAAAACAATAACACCAGAATTACTCCAATAATACCAAAATTAAGAAGTGATATACACAATAATATGGTTATGTTTAATGAACATAATGTTGTATGTAAAAAGCCAGATACAAAAAAATGCATTCATTCATTTGAATTTCAATAGCAGGCAATAGTAATTTCGGCAATAGACCTCACAATAGTAATTAACTAAATGAGATAGGGTAACAATTGCCTGGAAAGGGACTGAGTATATTTCTGGGATCATGGCAATTTTCTATAACTTGATCTGGGTGATGATTACGTTTGCTAAAATTCCACAACTTGTTAGTTTTTTATACAAATTAGTGTATATATGTCAATCCCAATATTCAAGTTCATCCATTCCCCCCCTCTAGGTTTTTCTCCCTTGGTGGCCATACATTTGTCCTCTACATCTGTGTCTCTATTTCTGCCTTGCATAAAGATATGTGCTTTTAACTCTACGTGAACTATAGTTCAAAATTAGTGACTGGTGAACGAAGGCAAGCTGGTGTAGACAATGAACAACTAGTTCGCATTTTACTGTAAACTCATTAAAAACTCGTTCTCCTTTAGTGTAACGACCCTCACTGGTATTTGAATTATCTTTAACAGTAAAACGGCTATGACCACACTATTTTATTAGTGGAAGATACAGACAAGGATCCTTGAGAGGCGGTATTTCAACTTTGGGGATATGTCCTGCTCAACAGTGAGACAAGGAACCGTCCTAGGTTTCGCTTTGACCGGCGCCCGCGGGTTTGTGCACTGTGGGATTTACTGCTCTTCTCACCGCATCGCGCTCGGCGGCCAGCAGTAAACTGCTCTCTGAACGCTGCTAAAGGGCGCAGCTGGTGCTGACATTAAAAGCAAACCGAAAGACAGGTCATAGACACGAACTTGCTGTAACTTTGATTTGAACCGAAGTTGATGCAGCCACAACACAGCACTAATCACTGTACAGTCACGATGCACCAGAGGCCAACAGGTAATTTCTTTGACATAAATATTTTCACATTATTTTTGCTGTTTAATTCTTAGACACACATGCTCGTGCTTTTCTCTCTTTCACGCCCTTCTCCGGTTCTCCCTCCCTATTCAGTTACTTAATAAAAACAATTTTAATCTCTCAAGATCCGGCCTGTGCCTCACAGGCTTCCTGGGAGGTCTGTCTCATCCATGCCTCTGCTTTCTTTCGCTCCTTTTCACATTTGCTCTTTGGAGCTGATCTCCTTCCCGCTGCAGCCAAGCCGACCACATCTACTAAACCGCTGCCCAGCTGGGGAGATGGTCGAGTGAAGGCGGAGCAAACGGGGAGCTGTCACGGAACCCATCGGGCACGCAGCTTCCCTCCGTCCCCCCCAGCTCAGGCCCGGGGGCGCCTCCGGGGCGCCGATATCTGCGGCGGGTGTGGAGCAAGGCGCGGCGGGGACGCTCGGCTGCCCTTGGGCCTTCGGGATAGCCCGACGCACAGCTCCCCCGCCGGAAGGAGCACGCTGCGTCGACTCCTCCTCTCCCGTTGTCCGAGCCTTTGGAGCCGTCGCCGCTGTCCTGCGAAAGGCGGGTGGCTCCGCCTACCTTGGGACTGCTTACGTTCTACATAGATGAAAGGAGATGCTTCCTCGAGTCTCTGTGGCGCAACCGGTTAGCGCGTTCGGCTGTTAACCGAAAGGTTGGTGGTTCGAGTCCACCCAGGGACGCCTTCGTGGCCTTTTCAATATGTAATTTAAGGGTTTGCAGTTATTTCTGCCTCGTACATCATTTCTACGTAAACTCAGAGGAAGGTCTCCGTTACTTTTCTTGTCACCCGTGTCTTGTCCACAGCAAGAGAACCTAAGCCAAGATCACTGCTGCTCTTCTGATCCTCACAGAAGACCCCCGAAGGACACAGGTCACCTGGAATCCAGGATTCCTGGAAAGAGGGTAGTCGTCAGCTCATCGTTACCCTCTGGGTTCCTTTTAACAGTGAAGTTTTATCCATTGTTTGTACTAGTATTTATTGAACCCTTTACATATACCTTTGAAATTAATTTGTTTCTATGCTTTTATTATTACAAACAATACTGCACTCATCATTCTTGTACACATGTGTATGGGTGGAGTGCCAGAAGGGCAACTGTTCTATAAGAGAGTTTACATGGTTTTACATATGGTTCCATTCTCTCACCTTACTTTGTCTTATTAGCTATAACTCTTTTGTTATTTCAGCGACTACTTTAAGCTTATTTAAGGTAGACTACATTTCTACCTTATCACAGCCTGCCTTCAAGTGATGTCATTCCTCTTCACATTTCTCACCTGCCTGCCTTTACGCTATTGTCCTTATGCATTTTACTTTGCATATATTATAAACCCCAAATCTAAGGTTTTTACTTTTCTTTAAACTGTCCCATGTTTTTGAAGATATTTAATTGATAAGAAATGATCTTATATATTTTCCATGCAGATATCGTATCTTTTGTCCTTCATTCCTTTATGTACACCCAGAATTCTATCTGGTGTGAATTTCCTTCTTCCTGGAGGACTCCTTTAACATTTCTTGTGGTGTGGATCTCCTGGTGATGAAGTCTTTCAGCATCTGTATGTCTATAAATGTCATCATTCACTTTTATTTTTGAAAGATATTTTGTGAGGGAAGACACATAGAATATCATGCTGACTTTTTTTTCCCCTCTCAGTTCTTTAAAGATGTTGCTCCACTGCCTTTATTTTTGTTTTTTGTATGTAGTATGTCTTATTGTTTTGGCTGCTTTAGTGATTTTTCCTTTTCCTATGGATTTGAGCAGTTTAATAGTAATGTGCTTGGTGTGGCTTTCTTCATATTCTTTGTGCTCAGGGTTCATTTGCATCCTTGGATCGGTGGCTTTATAATTTTCATTATAATTAGAATATTATCTGTCTAGTTTCTTCAAAATTTTATTCTTCAAAAAACTTCTGCAGGTCATTTCAGGGACTTCAAATATTCCCACGATAGGCCTTTTAAAATTGTCCTAGCTAACACAATCATAGTAGGGGACTTTAACACCCCTTTCACCAATGGACAGATCATCCAAAATGAAAATAAATAAGGAAACACAAGCTTTAAATGATACATTAAACAAGATGGACTTAATTGATATTTATAGGACATTCCATCCAAAAACAACAGAATACAGTTTCTTCTCAAGTGCTCATGGAACATTCTCCAGGATAGATCATATCTTGGGTCACAAATCAAGCCTTGGTAAATTTAAGAAAATTGAAATCATATCAAGTGTCGTTTCTGACCACAATGCTATGAGACTAGATATCAAGTACAGGAAAAAAAATCTGTAAAAAAACACAAACACATGGATGCTAAACAACACACTACTAAATAACCAAGAGATCACTGAAGAAATAAAAGAGGAACTCAATAAAATACCTAGAAACAAATGACAGTGAAACCATGATGACCCAAAACCTATGGGATGCAGCAAAAGCAGTTCTAAGAGGGAAGTTTATAGCACTACAATCCTACCTCAAGAAACAAGAAATATCTCAAATAAACAACCTAACCTTACACCTAAAGCAATAAGAGAAAGAAGAAAAAAAAAACCCAAAGTTAGCAGAAGGAAAGAAATCATAAAGATCAGTTCAGA